TTTTTACGCTGACTGGTATGCAGCCATTGCACATAGTGCTGACTGCGTTTTCCCAAGGGTTCTTCTGGGAGTGACGAGTGCGACGGAGAAGGAAGTAGAGGCGCGTCAGGTGCCCGTCCAAAAGAAGGCAGGCGGAACCAAAGACTCGGCTGGAAGCTTTGGAAGACCGGGACCCCAACGCCAAAATACAAAAGGCAAAAAGACGATGACGACAGTTCGCCTCTCCAGAAGCCTTCTACTATGAAGGAACCGGAGCAAGAAGACAATGACGACAGCTCGCGTCTGCCGAAGCCTTCCACTTCGAAGGAACCCAAAGATACCAGCAGAAGGCCGCCGACTTTTCCTTTGCCGAAGCCTTCTACTTCGAAGGAACCTGAAGATGCCAGCAGAAGGCCGCCAACTTTCCCACAAAGGGGCGGAAGGAGCAGACTAACTATTAAGGGCATGAAAGTTGGAGATCCAGGATCTTCTCACTACGAAGAAATATCTCTTCCCTTTAGCCACCCATTGATTGGAGTTGGGAAAGTAAGTTTGGTATGATGCTAGCAGTTGTCAGGAGCCTTCTCAGGAAGTAACCTTGTTCGGTGTGAATTTCTGCAGGTCACTATTTTCTTTTGTGCTGTTGCTTCCGTTTGTTGGCTGCTGCGTGGTTGGAATGACAACAGTTGGTCTCGCATGCCTGACTTCTAGACTCTGTACGAACTTTTTCTTTCAGAAGTACCGAGGCCTGCGAAATATTATGGAAAAAGCTGGAACTACTGCAAGTTCTATCTGTTTTCCCCACAAGAAAATTGTTCACAGTAAGATAGTTGAATAGGCTCAAATTAAAAGCCTGGCCCTGGAGAGAAGGCTGGAGACGATTCTGATCAAGTGTCTTGGAACATTGGCTTGCAAGTCGACCCGCTGTTCTGCATAAACATTGTCCAAAGAGTAGCTTGGAACATGTTTTGCAGCTCATTACACGGCATGGGTTTCGACTGATGGTGGGGAAGAAATTGAAGTTCATATTGAACTAGAAGAGATAGTAAGCAGCTTGAGTGCTACTGGCCTTCACGAGCTTCATGTCTAGCGCTCTTCACGAGTTGCCTCTGCCCAGCGCTCACATCAATGCGTACAGCACAGAGGAGTGGGCAAGGCACCGATATGGGAGAGAAACGCATTTAATCACCTCTACCATTTTTGTTTACAGGGCATGAAGAGGGCCAGCCCGTGGACTCGGCTCAAAATGCTCCTTTCTCTAACTAGATTTGACCACCGACATGTCCGAAAAGCAAACATCTAGCCACCTTTCGGCTGTTGCTGCGCGTGGACGGAAGTTGGGCTGACTGTAACGCATCATGGTGCTGTGTTGTCATTTCTTGCTTGTGGGCGTGCAGTTTAGACGCGACGTGGAAGCTTCGCTCGAAAAAATGGTTGCCAATGTCCTTAGGGATGTTGAAGAAGGCACTTGTGGGCGCAGCGCGAAATTTTAAAGAAAATTGCAGGCTTCTTGATGTCTTATCAGCACCTGATAGTCCATTCGAGACAGACAGCTCTGGTAAACTGTGGGTTGGCTATATGTTTTCTCCCACTGAAATACTGCCCAGTGAGCGTTTGTCGTATTTTGTGTGGAGGCTTTGTCGTGTCTTGCAGCCCCAGCGAGCAGGAGAAGCAGCGCCTCCATGGAGCTCCACAGGCCAGATGGTACAGTTTGCAAGGGTCCAGTTTTGCTCAAAGTCTACGGTAAGCTCTGTATGAAATCTAGAGAGTTACTTGGAGCATGGCTAGTCACAGCACTGCCTACTTTTTGAGTTAAACTCAAGCTCAAGAAAGAAATGAAACCCGCTACAACTACTGCATATTTCTAGTTTAAATTCCTTTCGAATGATTGTGATTTCTCAGCTGCACCCTCCAGCCGGAAACCAGAAACAACCGGCGAATAATTATTGGAGTTTTTAGTTCGCCAAGGCCAACGCGAGCGTTGCACATGGCTGTGAGGCCCTTTCAAATTTGTGAAGGATTTTTATTTTCGAGGCGCTTGTGGCGTGGTATATTGAATTAATTGCGCGAGGAATTCATGCCTTGCAAGTAGCCAGTTATGGTCATTACCTTGCGTTCCTATTGTCGGCCTTTTGTCATATTGTTTAAATTACACTGAGGTATTTTGTGCGAATTTTCCTTCAACAGCCTTCCGACAGGCATAACTGTAGTTTTCAAAGACAAAACTAAGTTACTGGGGGCGGCCTATTCACTACATGATTACGTGTATAGTTCAGCGTTCTGCAATACCGGCGGCTCAAACTGATGAGAAAGGAGTGTTCTTTTTGTGGAACGCAACGTATGTTCTATTCAAAAGCTTGCATTCGCTACCTTCTTCCAGACGGAGACGCAAGCAGGTCAACAGCTTCCGTTTTGAAGTAGTGCGGAAAAGTGCAGAAAATAGTCCACGTCCGACTCCATAAGCACAGAGCGTTCCGCGAACTAGGGCGCACCGGGCGTGCTCATTGCACTCCGCATGATCTGATGCCCGCGTTGGCCCACGCGTGCACATGCACACACTTGGCGTTTGGCTTGCCATTTTGTTTTGGGACTGCAGACCGGCAGCACTAATTTCGCACTGCTTGCGAACGCGCGAAATCCTAGGCCCTGTGGGCAGCAGTGAGTGAAAATGTCATCTGCATGTTAATACACGCAGCTTAAACGGGAGTGCATTTGCATGCACCCTTGCCAGTTTTGGGACGAAAAAAACACAGGAACAATGACAGTAGAATATATTAGCAAATATAATGGCAGCATAACTTATCGAAATACCCGTGGAAGCCTCAGGAGTCTCACTGCTTCGTTAGCCTCTTTCACAGGTCAGCATTTCCTTCAGGGCTTTTAAAATGCATGACAGCAATCTTTGCAATCGCAGGGAAATTTATATATAGGTCATTGAAAGAAACTCGACCACTGAAGATGGGCATTTGGAAAGCCAACAATGCTTGAGCAGACTGCCCGAAGAGGGGTCTTGGGGACAGACATGCCACCAAGTTGCTGTTCCATCGCTCAGTTGTTCCTTTCGTCGTCATTTGATGCTATTTAGAGGAATCTTACACCATATTCCGTATCGCGGCGCTCCAGCTTGCTACAAGGCACGTTTGCGAGGTCACTAACTGATGGAGTTGTCTTTGGGGTCAGGTCAAGCCGAGTTTTCGAACTTGAAGAATATTCCCCATGAATAAATAAGTAACTCAAAGCTAAGCGGGTGAAAAAAAGATATATATCCAGTTCAAGGGATACCTGATGATACAATCTTCGGCGCTAGTCACTGCGGCCCCACACCATCCCCTTTTGTGTACAGTTTGAGTAAGGAGCAAAAACCTCCATACTTCGCTATTTTATGGTAAATTGTATGCATTTAGCATGCAGACACCAGGCTTATGTCGCAACATTCGCGGTTGTGAAGCCCAAGCTTCCCCGCCCTCCTGCACCCACCCAGCCCAGCAGTCTGTGCTCTCTGGCGTGGCCTTCTCTACTTGTTCACAGAAATATAAATTTCCCTTATTATCTCCAGCATAATTCATTTTGAAGAAGAACCTCAATGCAGTGATCATGCTGCAGTGCTGCGGGGCCAAAACTGCCTGCTAGGAGAACCATACCCTGAATCTTCCTGGACACATCCGAAGGATTCAGAAGACAAATCTGGTTCTCTGTTGGAACCAGCCACAAAAATAGTGTCTCGAGTGAATATAATCAATATAGGGCCTTTCACTTTGAGGCCTTCAAGAGCCAACTTGCGTCTTTAAGGCTCTGCCTAACTGAAGAGCAAGCAGCTAACCCCTTGCTCTCAAAATATCACTGCTGTTCAAATGCCAACCAACAGCGTGCGGAATAATGATACGGAACAGGAAAAACAAAATTTGTTTGGTTGGATTGTCTGTAGAGCGGTGGTTGAATCGCGAAGATGTGGACTTCGGGAATCCTGCCCTGTTGTAACGGATCGCTCTGCCTCTGAGGCTTGCGCCCAGCGCAAAGTGCAGAATACAGAGGCATACGCTTCTGTTTATGGCCTTCGAGTTAAGTCACTCCAATTAGCATGCACATTAATCAGTTATTCGCCCTGAATATAGCCTTTTTGTGCGCATCTGGGGGACAAGAAGACCTTCCACGAGGCATTTGGGGACAAAAGAGACATGGCCGCAGATTGTAACACCTTGCACTATGAGCACTTGGCTTCCCAAAACTAAGAATCCAAACCCAAAGAACTTCCAGTCTTAATTTAAATACCCAGGCAAGCCTAGAGTGGTGGAAGGAAGCGAAAACAGACTCCTTTAGCTCTCCGGTGCCCTCCCTGGCAGCACCATCTTCCTGAGGGGGGACGGCATTCACAGCTGCTTAAGAACGGCTACCAGTGCCGACTTGCCCAGTAAGTGTTTATATGTAGCAGGAATAGATTTATTCACGAGCTTCTTTTGCCTAACTATAGAGGCAAATGTTCTAACTGGACAGCCCACAGCGTACTTTAAAGACCTTCATTGTACTGTCTCAGGAAGCAACGATGAACCCAAAAATGGACTTTTCCGAGGATATCCAGCTAAGTACCAGTCTAAAGCTGGATAATCAGGGCGGAAATGACAAGCTATTGCGGGGACGGAGGGTTGGTGGCCTGCAGGCATACTTCGTAGCTCTCGCCATTTCAATTGCACTTGTATATGTAGTTTCGAAGTGCGCCGCGCGTATAGAGGAATATTCCTCATGGCGCGTTAGGCGTCTTTCAGAGAAGGATGAAGACTCGAAAGATTCAAATCTGGTGAGCGCGAAAACAGTTAGTACTTCAGTCTTCACAACTGCAAGTTTTAACAAACTTTTAGTGCATCATATGTGACTGGCGCATATTGCCTTCTTTGGGATTCTATTAGGACCCCACTGAAGCAGAATGTGTCGAATTGAGGAGTGGAGCCGCATCAGGAGGAAGCTCTCGTTGGAACTGGCCCTTCTGGCAGAGAACCCAACCAAAATCTGGGTTTCAAAAGGTAGGAATGGAAGACCCTTACGAAGACGATACCGAGCATGCAACATCTGGTACAGGTGCAACTGCAAGCAAGCGGCCTGCCGGGGTATCAACTGCTCCTCAGGAGGGCCAGGAAGGAGGCAGCTCGGGGCAACGAAACTCTTGGAGCTTCCCTTCTCTTCCATTCGGTGCACAACGCCAAGGGTTTCAAAGAGTGGAATGCAAAGGCTGTGATGATGACGATGTGCCTTCGGCATCCTCTGGGCAGCGTCCGACTTCGAGCACTAGCCCTTTGCACACTGGCGCTTCTCGCCAAGGCTCTGAAAACGCAGAACTAGGTCCCTCAGAAGACGATGCACAGGCGGGGCCTTCGACATCTGCTGCGCACGAAAATTCCCGTACACAACCAGAAGGAGCACTAGATTTCCAAGGGAAGCACGGGCGGCGGCATCAAACTCTGCTTCGGCTTGGAGACGTGACCTCTCCTCATTACTTGAATTTGGGCGGCAAACCCGACTGGCGGAGGCTTAAAGAGGATTGGGTACGCTGTTGAACTTACCTGCGCTGCCTGGACGCCCTTGACCGACTGAGCAAACCATTTTGCACCTTTCTGAAACCCGTTTTGTGTGGAAGTTGGAAATGGATCGGCGCAAAAGATGGTTGCATGTCTTTGTTGGTCGGAATTGAAGCAGCTGACACTTTACGTGTGACAGCGTATGTTAATTTGCTATTCCGATTCTGCCTACGTTCTTTTTCTATTACCTATTCCAGGGGCAGGGAGAAGTGCAACGGATGCTGGAGAGTTTCGGTACTACTGCAGGGAGTTTTTGTTTCCCACACGAGGGAATGTTCAAAGGTCAGTTAGGAAGTCTCGTTTCTAACCTGAATCAAAAAGAAAGGCAACAACGCACCTAGTTGTGAAACCGGCTTAGTCTAAATTGTGGCTTGAATTCCTGCGGAGCCTGCTTGCGAGGTAATCTCACTCCACAACACATATGTGTTCCCTTAGCTGTTTTGAAAGTCTTGCAGCCTGCTTGGTCGCGACGCATAGTATCCCTGGTGGCGATGAAGTGACTATTAGTGCTAGGATAACAGAGCTTGTAAGTAATGCAATGCCTAGTGTGTTTCTGAATCCTATGCAACCTGTAAGTGATTCAGAGCTGATGACCCGAAGAGGCACAAAAAAAGCTGCGAAACGTTTCCTTGGGATTAGCGGCGCTGGTGCTTGGTTTTGTTTTTTCAGCAAAGCGTCAACACGCCAACTCTGTTGCGTCTGGGAAGATTCATGTCGCGTGGTTCCTGTTCCCATCAACATGTGCGTAAGATGCCTCCCCTAACATTTGGCAATTGGCCGCGTGGCTTAACAGCGGCCAGGCCGGCTGCTGTGAATCATGCCGCTCTTCCGACAGCTTGCGTGTGGCTCATGTGTGGGCGTGCAGTTTCAGCGCGACGTAACGTTAGTAGCTGAGGAAATGGCGAGTATTTGTTTGGAGGACGCCAAAAAGAGTATTCGTGCGTTCAGTGCAGTAGCTTGAAGTCGAAGTTATCTCTCTTACAGTTTTACTGCTGTTCGCCCAGCATGTTCATGTGCCGAAAGGCCGTTTAATTCAAAAGCAATTTCAAGTTCAATTTAAGCGCTTGAAGGACATGTAAGCTTGTAGACGTAAAGCATTGCGTTCGCTTGCAGCAATGGAAGAAAAAACAACCCACTTGCATACTGTTTTGGAGAGGCCATCCTCCGTGGCGTGCACAGGAAAGGTTTTAGTTGAGGTTTTCAGTAAGCTCTTAAAGGCAGCATCCTCTTTAAAGGCTTTTACAAACAAGTTCGACTTTGCATGAATTTGAACGGCTCATCCAGCTGAAGAATTGGGTGTAGGAAATAAGATCAAAGCTTGGCACAATCATGGAACGTAGCCGCGCTCAACTATATCTTTGACAATATTTTCAAGTGCGGTGTTTACCTGTGCTGTTCGCAGTCAGTCAGTCGACGCCAGGGGCTTCAGCGGCAGTTCAGTGAGCCTCAGGACTTGTCAACTATTTTTGCCTTCGTTTAGGGAGCCTAAAATTGGCCTATATTAATCGGAAGCGTAATATGGATGTGCGGCTTTTTTTCACGTTACTTCTAAGAGCTTGACTGCATCATAGTCAGGCGGTGGTGGCCGGACGGAGACTGGTAGTGCAGCTGTGGGATCCCACTTAGAGTCTGTGTTCGGTATTTTATCAAGGCAACCTTTTTTATAGTTTCCCGACAGACACTGCTTAAATTTTCACCGCAGGTATGCTCCTGCTGGAGCGTTTCGATAGACGGAAGTGCTATTTGAGGCTTAAGGTGTCCTTAGGCAGTCCAGAGAGCTCACAACTTCATGTGCAGGCGTTGCTCTTAATCCAGGTGCTGCCGACCCCTAGAGCGCAACTAAATCCTTCAAGGATAAGGAAAGACTGAAAGTTTTGTGATGTATAGTGAAAAATAGAGCTCCCACCTAGTCTTTTAGTCTCACTGGTGATCCATTCGGCTTCAAATGCAGCCTGTTAATCAAAATGCGAAAGCATGGCCAAGCAGACGGGTCAAAGTGAGCGTACAGCCTAAGTTTGGTACCGAAGATCTCTTTATTCAGTGGAAATTTATCTTTGAAGCTGGCGCATCCCACACAGATTAGCGGCGTGCTAGGATGGCTGCGGCTGGTTTAGGGGGCCTGCAGCCCCTGTAGACGAGCCGGGGGCGATTCTATATTGAATTCGGCCTGCCTTTGATCTTTACGCTGCTTACACTCTGAAATCATTTCAACGGCTCAGCATGCTGAGCTCTAAGAAAAAGTGTCCTTTGTTAGATTGTCAGCCGACCTCACACATAGGTCCATTTCTTCGTCTTGGGGCATCTTCACGCATTGTTTGCAATCAGTCCAGTAAACTTTGCACTTGGAAATACACCCGCCCAGTAGAGGGCTGTGAAGCTTTGCAAAGTCTACGGGAGGTATTGGCGTGGAACAGTATTGGTTTGCAATACAAAAGGAGCTGGGCACGCTTGTGTCAAAGGGTGTCACTCACTATCAGTTAGAGGCCTCGGTGTTAATGCTGGCTACAGGTGTAGCTGGTATGTAAGCGGCCACTGGGTTTTCAAGGTAGTCGGCGCACATTCCTGCAAGGCCACAGTTGGGGAAGCTGGGAACAGTATATTAGGCCGCAGTGAGGAAAGCTGGGAACCGTTTACTTTTAAAGTTCTGAAAAAAGAAACTGTGCCGCGAGTCCTCGTTAGATACCGTGTTTAACGGGCTAAGACACATCCATGGGTTCAGCCAGTTGTAGCTCGATCGTGCTAGCAACTTTGCCAGCAATCTGCACCGAACCGCTGCAATAGTCATGAGGTCTTTCACGTAAAAATCTTGTGCGCGTACGAGGGAGCAGTAAAGCTCCATCACTTGCCGATGAACACAGTAGCCTACCACTTTTCAGTCAGAAGACTCTTGAGGCGTAGTTTACACGTTCCGTCGACACAGGTGGAAAACTCGCATTATCTGTTGCGTCTCCACCAATTTATTTTGCAGTGTCTAAGCTCACCGCGAATTTTAGGCGCAATTTTCTCACAAACTGGGGACAAAACAACAGAGGACGCAAAACCAGGCTACAGGAAGCTTTACAGGAAAGCCGCAGAAGTTTCGCTTTTGGACCATGGTTTTGTAAGCTCCATATATCTTTGCTCCATACATATTTGGTCGCATGTTAGCAGAGTTTATAAATTTCTGCAGCGTAAGCGCCATAAAAGCAGCAACGTAGCTGTTTTGCGTTTATGGTGAGGGGTGTTTTCCGACGCCGACGATATGCAGAGGACGAACATGAAAACTACGTGTTCCTGGGACTGCAAGGTTCCTTTCAGCAGGAATTCATAAATAATTTCGTGCTGCCTTACTTGATCTTGCGTCAATTGGCGACGGAAGGCTGCTCGCCGACTTGTCGACCCGCTTCAAATGTTCTCGGCACGCCTCCTAGCAGTCGTGCCTCTGCTCAACCGAATTTATGCCTTATCCTCTGGAATCTCTGCCTCCAAAATAGGATCAGAAGGCTTATTGCGCTTCTTACATGCTAAAACGCTTAGGACGAGTCGCGCGCCCACTGGCAAATTGAGTCCCAAAGTTCCCCGGATCTGGTCAAGCGCCAAGTGCCTCCCGCCGCTGAAAACGAGAGGAAAAGGCTGGCCGTCATTATGCGCTCTTCTCAGGCAAAATCGAATTTCCGCGCATGTTTGGGGAGAGGGCGCAGTGACGGCATGAGGATAGAGAACCGCCAGAGTCGTGTTCTTGATACGAAAGTATCCCCAATAGCAACGGCAAGATTTTCATGTGTCCCGAAAATCTGGCTGCGGCGCCCTATGTTTGTTGACAAATGCATAATCGAAAATATTTCACGGAATTACACTAGCTATTTCGGCAATAGTGAAGCGCCGGCTCTACTGGATGGAAAGCCGAGGTTACTGGAATGCCGATGCGAGACGCTGGCTGAAGTCAGAGTCTTCGCTACAAAGAACATGCCATTGATGAGAGCAAGACAAATATGCCTGTCTTTGAGCCATCGTTTTTAATATCAACTGCAGCTCAGAGGCGGATTATTCATCAATGTACTGCGAAGGCTTTGCAATAATTTACCTGTTGTCTCAATTTTACGGCCTCGAAGATAGGTGGCGGACAGTTGCTACCTCTGAAACCCACCCTTCACAGTCACTTAAAGTGTGAAACAAATCAAAGAAACTTAAAAATATAGGAATCGAGACCTAATGTAGTCTGAGTTCAGAGCGGATGCTGTTGCAGTTTCCCCGGAGAGGGAGTAGAACCAGTCCACAGGACTTCGTCATCAGCCTTGACGATGTGGGGTGAACAAGTCGCCTCCATACCTTTATTCCTACATGCCTGATAACAAAGAACCCTTTGTTTCTGTGTCTTTTGGGTTCATTCGTCCCGCTTTGCCGACGAAGCGCTCAACTGTTGGCCAGTGGAAGAGTGTGATGCGGGGTGCTTGAGTTGCCGCCAGGGCGCTCATAGCCGCGTAGATCTTCAACGTCTGGTTAATACCTCATGTTTCCGTAATGTGCAGCTTAGTTGGTAAAGTTTTTGTCGTGGTCTCCTCCAGGCCTCTTTTTCGAAAAGATGAGCAACGTATTCGAGCCTACGGAAACAGGCTTAAGCGTGAGCTTACGAAATGATGGCGTGGTACCTGTTGATATGGACAGTCTAGAGATGCACGAACTTTACTCTGACTCAAAGAAAACGGGCTCTGTTGCTCGACCGCGGAAAAAGCTATTCTTCGTTCCAACATTTTTCGCTGCTGTCGCTTTTTGTATTTTCGTGGGACTTTTGAAGCAGCGACTGCATCAATCAGCTGACTCAACTGCTAAAGCTCTGCGGGTTTCTGATATTCGACCTCCCGCAACTATCTCGGGGCGTTGGACACACCGGCAACTGCCCGCTCAGTATGATGAATGGGGGCTGCCAACGATAGCACACTTTGAAGAGACCCTCTCCCCAACTCTGAAACAAGGAAAAGATGCCATTGCCCAGGCAATTGCACATTCCGAATCAAAGAAGAGCAGCAGCCTCTCTGTAGACCCAGCTAACAGACAGCATCTTGCTGCGAGAACTTTATCGAACGACAAGTCAGATTCACTGCTGGGGATGACGCTTGAGCTCGAAGATGTAGTCCCATTCAAACGACGTGCAGAGAACAAACCTGTGCCTAGCAAAATGCGCATTACAAAGGTTGTAGGCTCGGACCCCTCCGGCCTGCTTGTTCTGGCAGAGGACGTCAAGTCCCGGCAGCTGTACACCATGCGCGTTTGCATAATGCAAGCTCCTCTGGCGTCGGAATTCCCCGACAGCGAGTCGCTCTTTGAAACAATTTCGTATTGGAATGAAATTGACGACAAAGTGGTCAGTCAAATCTCCAAGAGCACTCCAGAGGGCGAGGACGATTCTCAGCAAATTGCCACCATTCCTATTTACACGGCAAATGTTGCAGGTGCAACAGACGCTACTGTAATTAATGGGAGCTACGTTTTTGGTCAAGTGTACCTTCTGGAAGAGTTGCACGGAAGCATGCAGACTTTGGATCTGAAAGGCGAAGAACTTCTGCCGCAAACCCACGAATACATTGGTAGCCGCTTGTTGCAGGTCTTCCTTAAATTGCAGAAGGCAGGAATAAGCAGTGCGGCTGTGGACTGGAGCAATATCTTTGTGCGTCCCGACGGTTCTTTCGTTGTGAGCGGCTTTCGCTCCTCCTCCCCCTTCGGGTGGCCCTACGGGCCTTTTGCTGCGTTCAATCTGGAAAGATCTGAGCCGCAGCTAGTTCTCTCGATTTTTCGTTCCCTAGAAACAAGCGAGTCCTGTGTATCTCACCCTGCCGTTGACATGTGGCTTCTTGGGACACTCCTGTACGAGTTGTTCACAAAGGGAGAATCTGCCTATGGCATGGATGAGTGGTACGAAATGGAGGACTCGAGGAAGCTGGCAAAAGGACTGCTTGAAAGGAAAACTAGATCTGAAGTCTTGCGGCCACAGCTGGAAGCTGCAAATGTTCCCGAAAGGTGGTTAGAGCTTATCTTGCGCTTGCTGGAGCCCGAAAGAGTCAACAGGATTACTGCTTTTGGAATTATGAAGGAGTTCCCCGATCTTGCGCAACATATATCGCACAGGCTATCTGAGTAGTTCGTATGTGACTTAGAATGCATCTGCATCACTTGAATTGGCCTGCGCCTCAGTCGCAGTAGGCATAGCTGTTTTTGGCTCACTTATTCGCTGCCTGTTTGCGAGCTTCGAGCTGTCCAAAAAGCCACCAAAGTCTCACAACCAGCTCCACGGATTCGCATACACCAAAATGGAAAAAATTTGTAATGTGTGAAATTGTGGCGAAATTTGCCCACGTAAAGTAGTAGCGGTCCTCAGAGTCTAACCACCTGTGTCATATGCCGTGCCAATCGTATGGCATCGCGAATGCAAGGAGTTAAGAGCCTTCACAATGCAATGGACTTTTGTCTACAGCTCATCATTTGTACGGCATTACAGCAAAGAGGCCAGCCACTCCGCTTCCCAGCTCAAGAACTTGAATACATTGGATGTATGTGAAGCAGCTCGCCACTTGTGCTTCACCCCCAGAGATTCCTCAACTCCATGATGAAAAAAGGTCGCCCAACCTTCCAGTTTTGTAATCTTGGAGATCATGGGCTTGTTGACCTCGGGAGTGCAAGGGACCTTCATTCACGCACTGGTCATCTGTGTTTAAACCAGGCTCATACTTCTCTAGCTGCGTGGTATCGTGGCAATGTTATAAAATTTTGTGGTAGCATGACTAGGAGGGGCTTTGCCCACTGGTTCAGGCAACAATATTTTGCGTGACAGAATGGCTACGAAGTATCTGAATGAGTGTCGCGCTAAGGCATTTCGCTAGTGCTTGCCTGCTAGGTTGTTGAGGGCCTGTCTGCTGCCATCAAGCTTGTACCGTTGAGTTTTGCCGGTATCTGCTTGCTGGTCTGTGGGTGAATAGCTTCGCGACTGCTGCGCTAGGGAAACTGCGCGGCAGCAGAGTGGTGGCAGGAGGGAGGAAGGCCAGCTAGATTCCGAGTGTAACATGCAAGCTGCGGGAAAGGACAGCCACGACATATGGCGCATGTCATATGTCGTCCGAATCAGGTAGTCAGCGCCAGCTTTCTATTCCAACACGCCATGGTCCTTGTTTCCGGTTGTTGGAAACGCAACGAAGCCATGGAAACTTAGCACTGGCTCGCGCCTTGCGCTGGCTAACGGGCGCACGTTCTGTGCACTGGCCCGAAACAGTGCTCCGCAACCCTCGCAATCAGCCTGTCAGGATTTTTTATTATCGGCGGGCGCGAAGCTGCACTACCAGCTGCAGCGCCACCCTCAACTTCGAACTTGTTCTCCCCCCAGCCCTCGGCGGCGGCTGAGCAACGGAAGTGGCGCTCGCGCACCGGTAGTCTTTTAGGCTGCTCGTTTCGCGGGCTTGCAAATTAACTCAACGAACTTTGTTGATAAGCCCGTGCAGAAAGCGAGGATCCGCGTGGACATGGCCTTCTAACACCTCTCTAGAGACAGAGTTTAGACAAGTATCTGCTAGACTTTTAATGAGGGAAGACTTTTATTCATAGCTCGGAAAAAGGAGCCTCATCTTCTGCTTTGTGCCACCATCTCAAGCGTCTTCCACTCTCCTCTGTTTGTGCCACCTCCCCACGCACCTTTTTGCAAAAGATACCAAGAACAGATTTTGAATATCTTATTGGTTTCAACTTTTCAAGTTTAATACAGTTCAATTGCTGTGCTGGCATTCCGTGCTAACAGCCATGGCCTCAGGTTTGCTTTCTTGAAAATTTCCCCAGATCGTTCTGTTTCTTGAATAGTTTAGTGGAAATATTCACTTTTATTTGTTTGAATTTATATCCTGTGCATGCGCCGTCAATGCATGAAGCTTCTCCCGTAGCCTCAGGCCTCGGACTATGTCTTCTGCAGCCACAGAAACACTGTGTTTCCAACTTGCAAATTTAGCAGCAGGAGATACACCTTGCTGCTTTTCTAGAAACTAAAAGAAAAAAGAAGCAAAATATGCAGCAAAAATACAATTCCCCCATTGGACCAACTCAGTCGTATGCTGGGGAGATTTTGCTAAAGCACAGTATTAGAGTTCGTAGCAGACACTGACAGCCCCCTAGGAGCTTGCAGGAGAGTCCAGAACTTTGGAATTAGGCAGTGTTCGTAGAAGGAAAATAGGGGCTTTTAAGGCTGTCAAATAGTGTTTAAATGCACAGTTCAAAAGGCACAGATAAGTATTCTTAGGCTAAGTGCAGAAGAAGTCTTTTCTGCGTTCGGCAGATCCGGAGAAGCAACATCCGCAACCAGAACACCGTTTCCGATATTGAAGTTGCAAAATGACCAAACTTGAAATTGAAACTCAAGAAGCCGAAAATACGCAATTTCTTGGCATTGTTGCGCTCTTGCATAAGTACTGTTTCATGCGACCCAGAAATGTACGGAAGAGCCAGAACCAAAGGATGAACAGGCATTTCAGATACTCCTAAGCCCTGCTACTCCTGTTGTGAAATATTTGCAACACCTAAAGCCTCTAATCCCTCTTTTTCAAAGTGTTTTATCAAGGAAAGCTGACCAATTTACTGGAAATCCAAACACTGTCCCGACTGTCCATACACTACACCACAGGAATACCCATGCCGTTCGATCCCGCACAGCCCGATCTAAAAGGGCGGCCAGTAGTTTGTTGGGGTCTTTTCTTAGCATTTTAGAACTTCTGCAAATGCATTTATAGGAAGTTTCCCTTTTTTTAATTTTATCGTGTGGAGGGGCCTCAAGACTGCCAGCCCCATTCCTTGGCTGCCACTCATCCCGCTAACATGGGGCTGGACCAGGCGGCTCTTGCATGCACTTGCAATGCTTGCGGCTTTTTGCGGGAGAATTCATATTTCAAGTTGAAGTGTGCTGGTAATATCTCTTTTGTGACAACAACGGAAGAGGGTGGGATCGAGAGCTAAGCCCAAGATGTGCCAAGAGCACATGCGAGGTACTTGGGGGCTGCTCGCGCGTGGCTCTGCGTAGGTTGATGGCCTTCGTCGCCGCTCTTTGCGGCAATCTTTTGCAAATTTTTGAAAGGTTTTGGCGAACTGGACTGGCCAGAGCTTGCATGCCCCCCTGGACTCCTAGTGGAAAGCTGAAAGCCCGCGAAGATGGCGGAGGCCTTTGAGCGCTTCAAGCGCTTCGAGTACAGACAAAACAGCAACCTTGTGCTGCAGCGAGACCCCTACCTCACGGGGGCCCCCGGGGGGGCCCACCAGGGGGAGCCCACGGGGGAGCCGGAGTCGCTGGCGGGGCGCAAGCTGTACCCCATGGGAGACAAGGCGGAGAGGGGTTTGAAGAAAGAAGAAAAGGAGAAGATTGGGAAAAGAAGAAACAAACTCAAGGAAGGAGGCATTGCCAAAAGAGCGAAACTCGTAACTCCCACAGTCCCCCCCCAGCAGTTGCTGCTGCTGCTGCTGCTGCGTCGCTGCGGCAGTTGCTGCAGCAGTTGTTGCTGCTGCGTCGCTGCAGCAGTTGCTGCTGCAGTTGCTGCTTCCGACTTGGAAATAATTTGCAAGTACTTTTTGTCGCAACAGTTTGCAAGTGCTGTTTGCTGCGAACTTTTCACAAAACAATACAATACTTGGACGGTTCCCTTCTGCTGCTCTCTGCATGCAAGTTGAATCGAATTCAAAGCAAACTGCTGCTGCTGCTGCTGCTGGGCAATTGCGAGTTGTTTGCGTTGTTGTTTGTTTGCTTTTTCAATTTTGCAGGACATAAAGAAAGGGTCAACTGTGCTGGACGCAGATGTAACTGAGAACTTCTTTTACCGGCCGACGACGCGCGCGACGAACCAGGTGTACGAACAGCTGCTGGTGCTGCTGCAGCAGCAGCTGGGGGACCAGCCAGACGAAGTGCTTCGGGGAGCAGCAGATGAAGTTTTGCAAGTTTTGAAAGAAGATGGACTCAAAGAAGGAGAAAGAAAAAGGGGAATTGAAGCTGTCTTGGGGCCCCTCACTCAAGAACGCTTCACAAAACTTTTCCAACTTTCCAAAAACATCACAGACTTCATGGGAGCTGACCAAGAAGGAGACGAAGCAGGTGCAAGGCCCCGCAGCTTTTGTCTTGTCTTTTTTTTGCATGCAGCAACTCCGCGATCTTTTGCAATGGAGAGGCCGTTTGCTGCTGCATGCATGCATGCACTTTGCCGTTTCGCCCCGCACTCCACAAGTTTGAAACCTTTTGCATTTTTGTTCACTTGCATTTAAGTGCAAAGAGAAGCAGCAACAATGCGCAGCAGCAGCAGCAGCAGCTGTGTCTGCTGGTTTCTTGAGTTCTTGAGCTATTCAGCCTGTGCCGCCGCAAATTTGCATGCGTTTTCCGCCACTTGAGCGAATAGTGAGGAGTGCATTTGCATGCAGGTTGAATAAGTTCAATTTGTGCTCATTTGTGCGCGAAAGGAGCACTTCGTTCACTTTCACTGAAAGAAGTTCCCACAGGCGCGCACTGCGTTTTTCGACTGTCACCTTTTGGCCGCAGGAGAGCCCGACGCCACGGCGGGAGTGGCTGTTGTTTTCGACGAAGAGGAAGAAGGCGAAGAGGACTACGACTATTCCGACATGGAGGCTGAGGGAGACGAAGAAGAAGATGAAGAAACGGAAGAACAAGAAGAAAAAGAAAAGACTTACTTGGCTGCGAAAAACCTGGACGAAGAAGAAGTCGACAACTCCGAGTCCCACTACTCGCTGGACGTTTCCAAAATTGACCCCCACTGGCTGCAGCGGGAACTGAACTCGGTGTTTGCAGATCCGAACCAAGCTGTAGCTACAGAGAAGGAAATCTTGTCCATTCTTCCCATTCCGGACATTCAGGAGTGCGAAAACAAGTTGGTGCTCATTTTGAAGTACGAAAACTTCGAACTCGCGAAGAAAATCCTGAAAAACAGGTGGAAGCTCTTCTACTGCATTCGCCTCGGACAGGCCCAAACCACCGAGGAAAAGGAGGGCATTCGGGAAGAAATGAAAAACTCCCAAGAAGGACAAGAAGTCCTCGAGCTCCTCGACGCCCTCACCTCCAGGCGCAACAAAGAAAAGGAAGTCACTCTCAACGTCCGCAAGGAGGCAGCAACACTTGCTGCCAAGGCCCAGGTAACCCCCGCTGCAGCGCATGCAGCTGTTTGGGGCTTTCTTTCACTCAGTAAACGCTGCTGCTGTCTGTGGCTGCGGTCAGTCCTGAAGTCTCTAGCGGGCTCTTGGCTGCGGGCGCAGCTGCGGGAAAGCGGCCGCGCACTTGAAACTAAGTGAACACCCCCGAATTCGGACCAAAGGTCCCGCTTAAGTTGATTTGTTTAGACACTTTTAAAAGTTTGCAACGTGTTCTGTCTGGAACAGGCGCGGGACGCCTCCCTCAGAGCCGCAGAGGCTGACGATGACGCCACCGCGCTGGGCGGAGGCTCCCACGGCGCCCCAGGCGGCCACGTGGGACCCTCTAGCCAAGCAGCTCAACGCAAACCAACGGGATCTGTTGACTTGCAAAGCATTGCGTTTCACCAGGGCAGCCACTTGATGGCGAACGCGAAGGTCAAACTGCCCGACGGAACTCAGCGCATTGAGACCAAGGTGGGCTGCAGCTCTAGCACCTCCTTCCCTCATTGCAAGCAAACCAAAGGTTCAACTTCTTTAGTTTGAAATATTATATTTATAGTTTCATTTTCTGCGTGAGTGCCGGTGAAGTGGGCCAGGGCAGGTTTCAGCTACAGTGGCAATCGACACTTTTTGCATAAATCTTTTAGTTCGCTGAGCAGTTCCGTCGGGTGTTCCCTGCCATGTTTGGCCTTTTGCGAATACCTTCTAGAGCCTGCCGATCCGGTTTTTTCATAATTTCATGAAAGAGAATTCGACAAACTGTTTGTTGGTCGTTTTTCAGAGTTATGACGAAGTGATTGTGCCCGCGCTGAAGCGGCCGGCCGATAAAACTGATGGCTTGCTGTCGGTGTCTTCGATGCCGGAGTGGAGCCAGCCGGCGTTTGCGGGGATTGGAGTTGACCGGCTTAATGCGCTGCAGTCGAAAGTTTATGACATTGCTTTCAACGCGTATGAGGAGAATGTGCTGCTTTGCGCTCCGACGGGAGCAGGGAAGACGAACGTGGCCATGTTGGCGATGCTGAACGTGATCGGACAGTACAGAAACGCAACAACTGGAGCCATCGACTTGAAGGGATTCAAAATCATTTACATTTCGCCCATGAAGGCGCTGGTGGCGGAGCAGGTCCAGGCGTTTTCGCAGCGGCTGCAGCCGTTCGGAATTTCCGTTCGGGAGCTGACTGGAGATGCTAATCTGACGAGGGAGAAGATTGAGGAAACTCAAGTCATTGTCACAACTCCGGAAAAGTGGGATATTATAACGAGAAAGGCCGGAGAGAGGGCATATACCCAGCTTGTTCGGCTCGTGATCATCGATGAAATCCACTTGTTGCATGACACCAGAGGCCCCGTACTGGAGGCTATAGTGGCGCGCACCATTCGTCAAATTGAAATGTCTCAAGAACACATTAGATTAGTGGGGCTTTCTGCAACTTTGCCCAACTACGAAGACGTGGCGGTGTTCCTGAGGGTTAAGCCGGAGAGGGGGCTGTTTGTTTTCGGCAATCACTACCGCCCAGTTCCTCTCAAACAAACTTACATTGGAATCAAAGACAAGAAGGCCATCCGGAGATACAACACGATGAATGATGTCACTTACGAAAAGGTTTGTTTTGATCGAAAGCGCCACTCTCTGCATTTCACTGAAAGCACACGATCTGAGCTGAATCTGCTGCAGCGGCTACTGCTAGGAATTGCAAATGTGAACAACAACGGCCTTTTTAGCTGCTGGGAGGCACTTGGTTTAGCTGGGGGACTTCAACTTAGTTAATGCATGCATGCGCTTTGTGCTGATGTACATGAGCTGCTGCTGCGGTGTTGCTGCTGCCTCTGCTTTCAGGTTCTGGAGTGCGCTGGGAAGAACCAAGTGCTCATCTTTGTGCACAGCCGCAAGGAAACAGTGAAGACGGCGAAGTTCATATGTGATGCAGCACTTCAAAAAGATACGCTACCTCGTTTTCTCCAGAGCTTTTCAGCAAGTCGGGAGATTCTGCAGGCGGAGGCGGAGGCAGTGAAGACGCAGGACTTGAAAGACTTGTTGCCATACGGCTTTGCCGTTCACCACGCGGGACTTCCCCGAACTGATAGGAAACTAGTTGAGGATTTGTTTGCTGACAGACATATTCAAGTTCTCGTGTCCACTGCGACTTTGGCTTGGGGTGTCAACCTTCCCGCCCACACGGTCATCATTAAAGGTCAGCATTACATGGATCTGTCGCGTCTGGACTTTTCTAAAGTGAATGAAAACGATAAACCACTAGAGTCATTGTCAGGATTCAAGTTATAGTGCAACGGTTAACCTGCTTTCCAGCGGCGCCCGTTAGTGTTCGTGTTTGCACATGCCTGCATGCTGCAAGCCACGTTCAAGTCAGTTACAGCTTTACGAACTTCATTTCGAAACATCTTTAAGGCATTTCAGCTTCTCGTGTCAGCCTCTTTTTTTGTTTTTTGCGGACTTCTGTTTTTGTTTTGTGCAGGAACTCAAGTTTATTTGCCGGAGAAGGGCGCGTGGTCGGAGTTGTCGCCGATGGACATTTTGCAAATGATGGGGCGCGCGGGAAGGCCGCAGTACGACACTGGGGGCCACGCCATCTTGATTACGCAGCACAGCGAACTTCAGTTTTATCTTTCTTTGAACAATCAACAATTGCCAATCGAATCGCAAATGATCCAGTGCCTTCCAGACATGCTCAATGCAGAGATTGTTCTGGGTAAGGCGAGGGAGCCGCAGCCTGCATGCATGCGCGAAAGGCTCTTTGCATGCAGCACTTGAACTTCGAATGCTGTCACAGTTAGCGAATTGTAAAGTCCGAATATTTTCAAACTCTCTTTGTTGTTCCTAACCCGGACAGTACTCTAAGTTTGACTTCATAATCCGGAATTTGGCAGAGTCGAGGGTGCACAAGAGGAGCATCACAAGAAGTGGCGCTGCAGCGTGCACGTTTTAATTTGCAAAAGGAATGAATGTTTAGATTTTTTCCTGTTTTTTTTGCATTTTTATTCAGGATCCGTAAGAAGCAGAGAAGATGCTGTGCACTGGCTGGGCTACACCTATTTGTATGTGCGCATGCTGAAGGCTCCATCGCTGTACGGCATTCCGCAGGAGATGGTGGTGGGGGACAAACTTTTGGAGCAATACTGCATTAACTTGGCGGACTCAGCATTAAAAACTTTAGATCGGCATTTTCTGATCAAATATGACAAGAGAACTGGAACGATTCACGTGACTGCGATGGGGAGAGTGGCGAGCCACTACTACATCAAGTACCAGACGATTGCAGTGTACAACGAGCATCTGAAACCAACTCTTTCGGATATTGAGCTTTTGAGGCTTTTCTCTCTTTCTTCGGAGTTCAAGTACATGCCTGTCAGAGAAGAAGAGAAACTGGAACTACAGAGGCTCATGGAGCGCGTTCCAATCCCCGTCAAGGGCTCCCCCGACGAGCCTTCTTCGAAAGTTAATGTTCTTCTGCAGGCTTACATCAGCAAGTTGAAGCTGGAGGGCTTTGCCATGATGGCCGACATGGTGTACGTACAGCAGAGCGCCAGCAGAATAATGCGGGCGATCTTCGACATCTGCTTGAGAAGAGGCTGGGCACAACTTGCAATAAGGGCACTTCAACTTTGCAACGAAGTCCAGGGCCGCATGTGGAGCACCATGACTCCCTTGCGCCAGTTCAAGGTCAGTCTTATTTAACTGAAGAATCTGTTTTTTGAAAGTCATTTCGCGGGATCTTGCGGATGCATTTTCAAGAAATGTTGCAATGTGTACCAGATGACTCCTTAGCGCTTTGGGGAGTCTTTCCCGTTGCAGTTTTTTGCATTTTTGCGTTTAAATATCGGTTTTATTTTGTTTATAAAGTGGTCAGCTGTACTTGGTTTCGGGAGTTGTTTGGCAATTGCATGCAGGTACTGCCTGAGGAGCTGCTGCGCAAAATTGAAAAGAAAGATCTGCCCTTTGACCGTTACTATGACTTGACTTCTACGGAAATAGGGGAACTTGTGCGTGTGCCGAAAATGGGCAAACTGCTGCACCGTTTGATTCACTCTTTCCCCAAGTTGGAACTTGCAGCTTTCGTGCAGCCGCTGAGCCGCTCCTGTCTCGTTGTGGAACTCACCATCACTCCGGACTTCCAGTGGGACCCCAAGATCCACGGAAACGGAGAAGTCTTTTGGATTATTGTTCACGATGTTGACTGCGAGCAAATTCTCCACCACGAGGTCTGCGAGTCTTGCATGCGCATGCGCTGATAGCGGCAGCCACGAACTTCCCGCCCGCGCCTTGCCGTTCCTCTGTGGGAGTTTGTTCCGAGTGTTTCACAAAATATAAATATATATATATTATAAGTGTTTTAAATCTTTTATTTTCTGCGTTTTCGTCTTTTGCGTCTTTTTAGATGTTCATTTTGCCGGCGTTTCAAGGCGAAGTCGAGCACACCCTCACCTTCACCTTGCCAGTCACCGACCCGATTCCCCCGAACTACTGCATTCGTGCAATATCGGATCGCTGGCTGCACTCCTCAGCTTCCCTTCCCATTTCGTTCAGAAACCTCATTTTGCCGGAGAAACCCATGCCGCATGCAGAGTTGCTGGACTTGCAGCCGCTGCCGGTTTCCTCTTTGCACGACAAGAAGGCCGAGGAGCTCTACAAGAAAGAGGGCATCAAAGCATTCAACCCTATTCAGACGCAGGTACACATCGCTGAGATCGAACTGTAACACATTTGGAAAGTAATTCAATTCGAAGTTGAAGTAGGACTCCCTGACTGTGCAGAAAACTGTTTTGTAGTGTTGCCTCTGTCGCTCTTGCTTTCCCGAAAGTGGCATTTTGCAGTTTCTTGTACCCGCGGTGCGGTATGCACGAAATACCCTTGTGAAGAAGAATATGCTTTTTTTGTTTCTGGAAACTTGTGCTACAATGGATGATACACGTGATGCGGTGATAGTGTTTACTTTGCTAATTATGTGTTGTTTGTTTCCGGGTCTTGTGCGCCAGGTCTTCTCCACTCTGTATTCAACGAACGAGCCAGTCTTGTTGTGCCTTCCGCCAACAAGTGGCAAAGAGATTTGCATTGAGTTTGCCATTTTGCGAATGCTGAAGACAGAGCCCGCCAGTGCCTGGAAAGCTGTTTATCTTGCCCCCTACTCATCTGTAGTCCAGGAAACGCTGCGGCAGTGGAGTTCCAAACTGGGCTCGGGCCTCGGACTCAAGATCTCAGAACTCACAGGCGACTTGCATGCAGATCTCAAGGTACTTTCTCCTTTTGAATTGTTTCGCGCGTCAGTAAACGCCGCATGTCAGTACATTTTGCTGCAAGTGTGGTGTTTTGAGAGTGCTGCGGGACACAGCAATGTGCAGCGTCTGCCATTCCGTTTGCTGTTTCAGCCTTTGCTTTTTTCTTTGTTCTGCTGCTTAGCTGCTTTTATTTGCTGCGGAAACGATTGCTGCTGCTAGAGAACAGTCAAACTGGGACGCGGGGCGCCTCTGGCATCATGTTCGTCTTTGAAAAGAGGGGATTCAACTTGCTCTGATGCACTCTTGGTGAATTATCTGGAAAGCTGTCTTTGCATGCATTTGCAGATTCTGGAACAGTCTCATATCGTGCTATCTACCCCGGACAAGTGGGACTTCTTATCACGGCGTTGGAAAACTCGGAAGGTTCTGCAGTCCATTCGCCTGTTGGTGGTGGACGATCTGCACTTGTTGAACTCCCCAGTTGGCTCCACTCTTGAAGTTTGTCTTTCTCGCATGCGATACATCTCAGCGCAGTTGCCTCAGCCTGTGCGCATTGTTGCTTGTGCCAATTCTCTTTCAAATGCCAAAGACGTGGCGGACTGGCTCGGCGTGTCGGCCACTGGTGAGGCGCGGAAAAGACCACATTTCGCGCAAAATACCATTTTATTCATCCCATTTTTAATTTCGTAGAAGTTTTTAAATGTATTTTTGCACTTGTTGGATCTCGAGATCCTCTCAGCGCCGGGAAGCGCAGGATCGACCGCTGTGCAAGAACCCTCGATTTCGGCCGAGTAATTAGACGAGCCACTGCAGATATGCGTCGCACTAGTGGAGTATTTATGTACTTATTTATTTATTTGTTTTATTTTGGAGTTATTTTCGCGTTTTTGTCCACGGGGCGTGCGGATTCAGGGCTGTTCAACTTCCACCCGAGCGTGCGCACAGTGCCTCTGGAGATTTCGCTGCACGGCTTCGACGTGTACAACCGCGAGGCGCGTTTGCTGGCCATGTCGCGGGCTGTGCACCAAGCCATAAAGTTGTACACAGCTCCGAGCGAAGACAGCCGCAGCCGCAGCAGCAGGAAGCTCAAGAACGTCTTGGTCTTCTGCTCCGACAGGAAGCAGTGCAGGCTCACGGCCATAGACCTTTTGCTGCAGACAGCCGCAGACGACCAGCCCAAGAAGTACCTCCACGTTTCAGGCAAGGCTGCAGCAACTGCTGCATGCAGCGAGCTCCTTCAACAGCCGTGCTGCGGATTCTTAGAGCGAAACAATGGGGCTTTCTCCCATATATTTGCCTCCATGCATGCATGCATGCAGCACATGCATGCGCATGCATGCATGCCTTCGGGCGTTCCCCTCTTCCGAGCGATCTCGGCTGTTTCGCGGCCTGTGACCGCCGCACCAACACACGCATGCACCCCTGCCTGCATGCATGCACCGGGTGCATGCACGCGTGCATGCATGCACCGGGTCCATGCACGCGTGCATGCATGCATGCATGCATGCATGCATGCATGCATGCATGCATGCATGCATGCATGCATGCATGCATGCATGCGCTGTGCGCGCAGACGAGACGATGAAGCAGTACACGTCGATAGTGCGGGACAAGATGCTGCTGGAGACGCTCTCTTACGGCGTGGGGCTGTACCACGCGGGGCTGTCTGCTGCTGAGCGGCTGCTGGTGCAGCAGCTGCACTGCAGCGGCGCCATTCAAGTTGTCGTGGCAGCAGAAGAGGCCGCCTGGGGCCTCCAAATGAGTTCCCACTTGGTCGTCATCGTCGACACCAAACGCTTCACCGAAAACGGGTCGGCCCGCACTTCAGTGCAAGTTTTCAGTGCAAGTTTTCAGTGCAGGTTTTCGCTTGAAGTTCTCATTGCAAGTTTTCATTGCAAGTTTTCACTGCAAGCTTTCAGTTCAAGTTTTCAGTTCAAGTTTTCCTTGCAAGTTTTCATTGCAAGTTTTCAGTGCAAGCTTTCGGTTTAAGTTTTCAGTTCAAGTTTTCAGTTCAAGTTTTCATTGCAAGTTTTCGATGCAAGTTTTCAGTTCGAGTTTTCAGTGCAAGTTTTCAGTTCCAGTTTTCATTGCAAGTTTTCAGTGCAAGTTTTCAGTGCAAGTTTTCATTGCAAGTTTTCGGTGCAAGTTTTCAGTTCAAGTTTTCAGTGCAAGCTTTCACTTGAAGTTTTCATTGCAAGTTTTCATTGCAAGTTTTCATTGCAAGTTTTCAGTTCACGTTTTCAGTTCAAGTTTTCAGTGCAAGTTTTCAGTTCAAGCTTTCATTGCAAGTTTTCAGTTCAAGTTTTCATTCCAGGTTTTCATTGCAAGTTTTCGGTGCAAGTTTTCGGTTTAAGTTTTCAGTGGAAGTTTTCAGTTCAAGTTTTCATTCCAAGTTTTCATTGCAAGTTTTCAGTGCAAGTTTTCAGTTCAAGTTTTCAGTTCAAGTTTTCAGTTCAAGTTTTCATTGCAAGTTTTCATTGCAAGTTTTCAGTGCAAGTTTTCGGTTTTAGTTTTCAGTTCAAGTTTTCAGTCCAAGTTTGCAGTGCAGGTTTTCATTGCAAGTTTTCAGTGCAAGTTTTCAGTTCAAGTTTTCAGTGCAAGTTTTCACTTGAAGTTGTCATTGCAAGTTTTTATTGCAAGTTTTCACTCCAAGTTTTCTGTTCAAGTTTTCAGTGCAAGTTTTCAGTTCAAGTTTTCAGTTCAAGTTTTCACTTGAAGTTTTCATTGCAAGTTTTTATTGCAAGTTTTCAGTGCAAGGTTTGAGTTCAAGTTTCCAATGGAAGTTTTCAGTTCAAGTTTTCAGTGCAAGTTTTCACGGTCTGCCGATTCGTGGCACTTCTTTCCGGAATGTGAGATTTGTTCCCATAAATGACACTTTTTTTTTCGGGAAAATGAAATTGGTTTAGGTAAATAACACTTTTTTTCGGGAAGATGAGACTTGTCGCAATAAATGACATTTTTTTGGGGAATATTTGTTTCAATAAATGGCGCGTCTTTCCGGGAAATGAGATGTGTTTCAATAAATGACACTTTTTTTCGGAAAAATGAGATTTGTTTCAGTAAAAAATACTTTTCTTTTCGGGAAAATGAGATTTGTTTCAACATGTAACTGTTTTTATTCATGAAAATGATATTTGTTTAAACATGTAACTGTTTTTATTCATGAAAAGAATATTTGTTTAAACAAAAAATACCTTTTATTCATGAAAAGAATATTTGTTTAAACGAAAAAACTTATTCATGAAAATGACATTTGTTTAAATAAAGAATACTTTTTATTCATGGAAATGATATATGTTTAAACAAAAAATACTCTTTATTCATGAAGAGGAGATTTATTTTAACAAGAAATACTCTCTATTCATGAAAAGGAGATTTGTTTCAACAAATAACACTTTTTTATTCTGGAAATTGAGATTTATCTCAACAACACATTTTATTCATGAAAAGGAGATTTGTTTCAAAAAGAAACACTTTTTATTTTTCAATTCATGAAATGAACATTCATTGAAAACATAACTTTTAATTCATTAAATCATATTTTAAGTAACTCTTTTAATCCCAACGGAAAATTATCTTTTTTTGATTTTGTTTTATCATTTAATTGTTGGAATTAAAAAAGTATTTGAAGTCTTTAATGTTTTATAATTTATTTCTTTAAATTGTTTTTTGTTCCGATATGAAGACTAAATGTTTGATTATTATTGTTTCTTTTGGTCTTTTTGTTCAAATATCAAGACTAAGTGTTTTATGATTTATTTCTTTTAAATGGTCTTTTTGTTGAGATATGAAGAGTACATGTTTTATGATTTATTTCTGTGAAATGCTCTTTTTGTTCAGATATGAAAGTGTTTTATGATTTATTCCTTTCAAATGGTCTGTTTGTTGAGACACAAATAAAGACGCTTTACAATTAATCTGTTTGAACTGTTTTGTTGTTCAGATATGAAGAATAAATGTTTCACTATTCCTTTCAAATGGTCTTTTTGCTGAGTCATAAGCCTAGATGTTTCATAATTTATTTGTTTGAATGCTTTTTCCAGATATGAAGGTATTTGTAGCGATATATTCCTTTCAAGTGGTCTTTTTGTTGAGCTATGAAGGCACTTGACGGCATGTTCGTTTCAAATGTTCTTTTGTCGAGCCAAAAGCCGAAGTGCTTCGCAAGTAGTTTGTTTGAATGCTTTTCCAGATACGAAGACTACCCAATCGCGGACGTGCTGCAGATGCTGGGGCGGGCCACGCGGCCCGGAATCGACAAGCACGGGTACGTGGTGTTGTTGTGTCCTTCGAGCAAACGGGAGTTTTACAAGAAGTTCATTTTCGAGCCTCTGCCCATCGAGTCGCAGCTCGAGCAGCACTTGCAAGACCACGTCAACGCAGAAGTCGTTTTGAAAACCATCGAAAGCAAACAAGACGCCGTCGACTGGCTCACCTGGTCTTTCCTCTACAGAAGGCTCTCCAAGGCAGGCCACTCCCGCTGCTTCTTTCCATTTTTCCGGAATTTTTCCCAGTTTCTCAGCATTTTTTGCAAAAAGCGCCACGCAGTGTTCATCAATACTTAGTTCGAGTCTAGGGCGGACTTAAGTGCACTTTTGGAGCTTTTTGAACGCCGGAAAGTGCTGCGTGCTGGGGTGTATGGACACCTGGCGTGCGTGGCGGTTCAACAAGTGCCTCTCGCCGTTCAAATTTCGCAGCGCGAATAAGATACATTCATAAATCCGCGAATAAGGCCCTTTTTAAATTAAAAGTCCATGAAAAGTCGATTTAAAGTCCACATAAAGTCGATTCTAACAACGCATTTGAACTCACCCCGAAGCCGCGCGCAGCGGAGCCTCCTCCCGCGCGCGTTGGTTGCATCTGCAGCTGTTGATCTCGTGCATTTCCGTTTTCTTGCATGCGAATAAATGCAGTTTCACTTTATTTAATTCTTTTTGACGCGACAAGTTTGCTGCGACTTGCGGTCGCAGAACCCGAACTACTACGGGCTGCAGGGCACTTCGCACCAGCACTTGAGCGACTTCCTCTCCGAACTCGTCGAGTCTGCAGTCCACTCCCTCGAACAGGCCCAGTGCCTCGCCGAGAAGAACGAGCTCGAGCTCGAGCCCCTCAACTTGGGGCTCATCTCTGCATTCTATTACGTCAAAGTGGCCACAATTGGTCAGGACTGGTCAATTATTTGATCTGTTTTGCTCTTCTCTCGCCTGCATTCTTCCTTTGTTTGTGTTCTTCATTCAGTTTTCTTCTTCTCCCGTTTATCTTGTTCTTTTATTCACCTTTTTCTTCTATTTATGTTCTTTTTTTCCCAACGAGCTCCTACTCCAGCCCCTCAACTTGGGACTCATCTCCGCATTTTACTATTGTTAAAGTGGCCACTATTGGTCAGGACTTGTCAGTTATTTGATCTGTTTTATTATTCTCTCGTTTGCATTCTTCTTTTATTTGTGGTCTTCGTTTAGTTTTGTTTTTCTGCCGTCATCTTGCATTATTTGATCTGTTTTATTGTTCTCTTGTTCATATTCTTCTTTTATTTGTGTTCTTCGTTTATTTGTCTTTTTCTCCCGTTTATCTTCTTCTTTTATTCTTCTTTTTCTTCTATTTGTCTTATTCTTCTTTTTCTTCTATTTGTCCTTTTATTCTCCTCCTCTTTTTAGTTTGTTTTTATTACTTGTTTTATTTTATTTTATTTTATTTTATTCCGTTTTATTTCTTTATTTTATTTTGTTTTATTTTATTTATCTTCTTCTTTTGTTTCTACATTCATCTCTGCATTGTATTACATCGAAGTGGCCACTGTTGGTTAGGACTTGTTTGTTTTTATCATTTGTTTTGTTTTATTTTATTCTTCTTTTATTTATCTTCTTTTATTTATCTTCTTTTATTTATTTCCTTTTATTTATTTCCTTTTATTTATTTTCTTCTTTTGTTTCATCTCCGCATTCTATTACGTCAAAGTGGCCACCATCATTTTCTTTTATTTTTCTTTTCTTTTTATTTTTCTTTTTGTTTTCCTTTTCTTTTAATTTTCCTTTCCTTTCTTTTTGCTTTCTTTTTATTTTCCATTTCTTTCTTTTTGCTTTCTTTTTATTTTCCCCTTCTGTTTGTTTTCCTTTTCTTTCCATTTTCCTTTTATTTTCTTTTTATTTTCATCTTTTTATTTTCCTTTTATTTTTTTATTTTCCTTTTCTTCTTATTTTTCTTTCTATTTCCTCCTCTTTCTATTTTCCAACTTCTTTCTTTTTATTTCTTTCTTTCTTTTCTTTTTCAGATTTATTTCTCTCCTTCTTTTTTCTCGGATTTACTTCTTTCCATTTTCTCAGTTGTCGGATTTGTCGGATTTTGAATTTGTTTCGCTTTCATTTTGGGACATACTTCATTTTATTTTCTTATTTATATCATGTTTATTTTCTCATTTATTTTTATTTTCTTTTTCGTTTTTATTTTCTTTTTATTTTTATTTTTTATTTATTTCTTTTCTTTCATTCTTTAACTTCTCAGCAGTTTCTTCTCCACTTCAATTCAGCTTTCCGACATTCTAGAATATATCTTTATCTTTTTCGCTTTTTTGATTTTTTGACTTTTTGATTTTTTTGATTTGTTTTTTTTGATTTCTTGATCTGTTTATCTTTTCCAGCTTTTTGCTATTTTTGACATACTTGCTCTTTTTTATCTCTTTTTGATTTTTTTGACTTTTTCGAACTTTTCGAATTTTCGAAAAGTTCAAAAAAGTTGTTTGATCTTTCTGATCTTTTTGATCTTTTAATCTTATTGGTCTTTTTAATCTTTTTGATCATTCTGATCTTTTTGATCTTTCTGATCTTTTTGATCTTTCTGATCTTTTTGATACTTTTAATCTTTTTGATCTTTTTGATCTTTTCGATCTTTTTAATCTTTTCGATCTTTTTGGTTTTTTTTCATTTTTGAATTTCAGAGTTATTCAACTGCTCTTTCTTTCCAACCTCAAAACATCGAGTCTTAGATTTGAAGTTTTTTGAAATTTTTTGAGCTTTTTGTTTTCTGGTCTTATTGAATTACTTGATCTGTTAATTCTTTTAATTCATTTAATTCTTTTAATCTTTTTAATTCTTTTTATTTTTCTAAATTCAGAACTATTCAACCGCTTTCTCTCTCCAACCTCGAAACGTCGGGCTGTATTTGAAATTGTGTGAACTTTTGCGAAAATTTTTGGAATTTTTTGAAACTTTTTGAATTGTTTGATTTTTTTGATCTTTTAATCTTTTGATTCTTTTAATTTTTTTAGTTCTTTTCAATTGCAGAACTGTTCAACCGTTCTCTGTCTCCAGCGTCGAAGCGTCGGGCTTTGTTTGAAATTTTGTGAAATTTTGTGAAGCTTTTCAGAATTTTTTGAAACTTTTTGAATTGTTTGATCTTTCATTCGTTTATTCTTTTAATTTTTTTCAATTGCAGAACTGTTCAACCGTTCTCTGTCTCCAACGTCGAAGCGTCGGGCTTTATTTGAAATTTTGTCTGCTGCTGCGGAGTTTTCGTTTTTGCCGCTGCGGCCCGGCGAAGAATCTCTTTTGAAGACTTTGGCGCAGCGCCTCGGCCTCAAGCTGCCGCCCTCGACGGACTTCAACAAGACCAGCACCAAGGCCCTCATTCTCCTCCACGTCAGCTGCTGCTGCTGCTGCTGCTGCTGCTGGTGCTGCTGCTGGTGCTGCTGCTGGTGCTGGTGCTGGTGCTGCGGGGGCTCTTGGCGGTGGTGCAGGTGCTGCCGGCGCAGGGGTTTTCGGTGCTGCTGGTGCTGCTGCGGGTGGCGCTGGGTGTTGCTGCTGCTGCAGCAGGAGCTCCCGGCGGTGCAGCGGGCGCGGCGCTGCAGCAGGCACTCGCGCCGCCGCCGCCGCTGCTGCTGCTGCAGCTGCGGGCCGCTGCTGCCTGGGTGTGGGCGCAGGCGCACTGCCAGCGGTGGAGCCTGCCGAGCGACCTCGCGGCGGAGCAGCAGCAGCTGCTGCTGCCCGCCGCGCGGCTGCTGCATGCGCTCGTGGACGTCACCGCCAGCAACGGCTGGCTCTTCCCGGCTCTTGCTGCAGTCGAGCTCGCGCAGGGGCTCGTGCAGGCGCTGCCGCAGCACGGGCAGGGGCCGCTGGCTTCGCCGCTGAGGCAGCTGCCGCACTTCACGCCCGAGCTCGTGAAGCAGGCCAACGGTGGGGCTTTTGACTTCACTTGGAGAATTAATGGCGTTTGTGGAGTTCAAATGCAGTTGAGGAGGGTGTTCCGTTCGGGGGTCGCGCGGTGTGCGTGGCTCCGTGGCTGCCACTGCTCGAGCTCCTCTAGCGGGCCGGCGGTGCGCCTTTTGCGATTTCTTTTGCGGTTTCGATGCGGTTTAGTGGGATTTGCATGCAGCTGGGGGTTTGTTTCGGTTGGGAATTGGAAAGCGGGTTGAAACGGTGTTCGTAGCCCCCGAACTTCGCGCGAGGGCTCGTCAAACACGCCAGTGGTGCGGCTTTTTGGACTTCGTTTCGAGAATTTAATGGCATTTTGTGGAGTTTAAATGCAACTAGGGAGTTTGTTCGGCTTGGAAGTTGAAAGGGGGGTTGAAAGCTGTATGTAGCTCCTTCATGTCGCTCCGGAGCTCGTCAAACGGACCAGTGGTGCCGCTTTCTGGGCTTTATTTTCGGATTTAAAGTGAAATTTAAATCCGCTTTGAAAGTTGTATTGGCCTCGGGAGTTGAAAGAGGATTCAAATCATGTAAACAGCTCCCTCATGTCACTCCAGAACTCGCCAAACTGGCCAGTGGTTGGGCTTTTTGGATTAGATTTTGGGATTCAAAATGGGATTCAAATCGCGTTTGGAGTTAATTGGGATTCAGTTTGGGTTTGGGAGTTCAAAGGAACTAAAATGATGCAGACAGCTCTTGAACTCGTCAATGAGGCCAGTGGTGATCAATTTTTGAATTTTTGAATTATATTTTGGATTTTAAAATGGGAATTAAATTTGTTTCGAGAATTAATTGGGGAGTTAAATTGAATTTCAGATTCGAAAGAGATTCAAATTGATGTAGGTGGCGCAGAAAGCTGCTGCTGCATTTCATTCTTGAACTCTTGAAACAGGCAAATGATTGGACATTTTTAGCGAAGCTTTTGGGAATTAAGGTGGAACTAAATTTGTTTTGAAGAATTAAATTGAATTTCGGAAATTGAATGAAGTTTTTAATTTAAAAGAGGATTAAATTGATGCGGGATCCCAGACAGCTTTCCTTGCTTCAAAGAGGCCACTTGTTACACTTTTTCCAAGTTTTTGGGAATTGTTTGGAAAGTTAAATTGAATTTTGGGAATTAAATTGGGGTTTGGAAATTATATTGAATTTTGGAAATTAAATTTAATTTTGGAAATTAAATTGAGTTTTGGGTTTGGAAGAAGATTAAATTGCTGTGGTGATGCATTAAATAACAGAATTTGGATTAATTAAAAAAGGAAAATGCAAAGGATAAGTACAAAAGTTCGAGTTAGATTAAAAAAGGAAAACAAAACAAATAAGTAAAGTTTGAATTTGCATGCATGCAGCGATGGACGTGAAGGACGTTTTTGACTTCATGAACATGGAAGATTCCCAAAGAGAGAAACTGCTGGCTTCCCTCACGCAGGCGCAGCTGCGGGTAAGGACTAGCAGCAGCAGCAGCAGCACCAGCAGCAGCAGTAGTAGCAGCAGCAGTAGCAGCAGTAGCAGCAGTAGTAGTAGTAGCAGCAGCAGCAGCAGCAGCAGCAGAAGCGGCAGCGCAGATTTGACGGGGAATCCGTGCAGCGGTTGCCGCTGCAGCCTCAGACCTGCTGCTGCTGCTGCTGCTGCTTTTGCTGCTGCTGCTGCTGCTGCTGCTGCGCAGGAAGTGGCGAAGGCGAGCAACAGGTACCCAGTGATCTCTTTGGAATTTGAAATTTCGAAAACAGAAAACATCAGCCCGGGAGAAAACCTCCAGTGCTCCGTGCAACTCGAAAGAGACCTCGCGGTAAGGCGCATGCATGCATGCATGCATGCATGCATGCATGCATGCATGCACTGATGCATGCATGCATGCGTGCGTTAGTGCATGCGTAAGTGCATGCATGCATGTTTTGGCGCATAATAAATAAACGACCCACCAACCAAACAACCAAATCAACCAACCAGCCAAACAAATAAATAATGAGCAAAAATAAGTAATAAATGGCAATAAATAATAATAATAATAATAATAAATAAATTAAATAATAAATGGATTTGAATTCCTTCAACTGTGCAGGACGGGGACGGCGTGGGCGCGGTGTACGCGCCGCTGTTCCCAAAGGAGAAGGAAGAGCAGTGGTGGCTGGTGATTGGGGAGTCTGCGGGAAACACTTTGCATGCAATAAAAAGAATTTCCATTTTGAAACAAAACTCTTCTTTTAAACTCAACTTCGAGGCCCCGGAAAGCCCCGGAAAACACCAACTCCTCCTCTTCCTCATGTGCGACAGCTACGTCGGCGCCGACCAGGAGCACAAGTTCGAGATCCGAGTCCGCTGAAACGGGGTGTACGTACACCTCAGTGCGGCGGATGGACACTTTCTTGCGGTGTCCGTACACCCGAGCACGAGTTCGAGACCCGAGTCCGCTGAAACGGGGTGTACGTACACCTCAGTGCGGCGGATGGACACTTTCTTGCGGTGTCCGTACACCCGAGCACAAGTTCGAGACCCGAGTCCGCTGAAACGGGGTGTACGTACACCTCAGTGCGGTGGATGGACACTTTCTCGCGGTGTATGTACACCCCAGTGCGGTGGATGGACGCTTTGTTGCGGTGTATGGACACTTTATTGGGGTGTACGTACACCCCAGTCAGGTGGATGGACGCTTTATTGCGGTGTATGGACACCGGAATGCGGTGGACGGACGCTTTATTGCGGTGTATGTACACCCGAATGCGGTGGATGGACAGTTTATTGGGGTGTACGTACACCCCAGTGCGGTGGATGGACATCCCGTTGCGGCGTATGGACAGCCCATTGCGGTGTATGGACACCTGGTTGCGGTGTATAGACACCACAGTGCGGTGGGCGGACACCAGCC